AGGATTTATATATCTCTACATATAGATTACGGATAATATCCTTCCTAATTTTCCTACTGAAGTGTTCTCGATAATGATTGTGAATCCGTTCCGATAACTTTTTAATGTTTCTACTTTTATTTACGAAGCTTGTCGATTATCAGCAATCACCACCATATGGCCGCGTTCAAACGAATTCCCTATATCATGGTTACCAAAAACATGGTAATACTGATAACACCAAATTATTATTCACTTATACGTATATGGAACCATCAAAAGGTCGATAATGGTCCAATTCAATTCCATCGATATGAATGTACTTATTAAATCGTCTTTATTTTCATTAAGGTTTGTCTTCCAACTTTGTCATGAATGCATGCTCGAGATTGGGTACCCATTTCGAGACAGCGTGCTACGAAACAAGGTTAAAACAGCGGACTTCAGTTTCACAGAGTCCGTCGTCGTGGGCGGACCTCTTCCCTCCGTCGTAGGTACGTAGGTACCGTCAGTTTGTTGCGCCGGTCCCGACACGCCGCCAGTTTAACATTGGCTGCTAGCCTCAGTCGCAAAAGTTCCCTCGCTTTTTATCTCAATTCGTATTTTCGGCAACGCTTCCCGTGGTTATCCCGTGGGGAGTCAGGAACTTGTCAAGAAAAGCTGATCCTTCGTACATGTAGCTATAGACAAAAAGGAAAATATAAAGCTGCTGATGTAAGGTGAAAGTTTTACGAGAAAGTTGACTAGAAAAGGATTAAAGCCCGAAAGGGACGTGAATCTTAGTTTATTATTAAATAATGCTTTGATTCTTATTGTATGTACGTGTATACAAGGTATGTGGCTAGTTTAGATATTCTATGGTGTGTCTGAGTTTTTACGAGTCAAACGTGTTACCGTCAAGGTCAAAGATAAAATTATGGCTTTTGTTTCGTTCCTTCGTCGCGTTAAGTTTATGTGTGAGTTTAGGCCCACACGCACAAGGCAGTTCAATCGGATAAGAAATGTCAATGGCGTTTCAAACATTACGCGGTCCGTCGGGTGTAATTAAATCTGATTAAAGTTTATTTAGTCCAAAAAATCCTTCACAATATCGCACAACGAACGATTAAAGTTGTTCCATTCAAAAGCGATCATGGATAACTGTTTCCGTGCTCTTTGACTCTTGTCTTTTTTTGAGACTCAATTCGAAATTTCAATGGGATTCATAGATCTCCAAAATCGGAATCGATCAAACGATTATGGTATACTCTAACCTATAAATTAGCCTTCCATAATACTTTCTCTCTCATTTTCCCGTAATTAATTGCAAGCAGACAAGAAATTATTAATTCCTTTATCAAAAGCCCAATGCACAAAAGGTGAAAAACGTCAAAGAACCAAAGTAACTTTTACACGACAAGCCAAAAAGTCTCTTGGTGTATTAAATCCCTTTTGTGTTAAGATTTGAAGATTGTAATAATGATCTTATAGAATTCTTATCCGTTCAAGGTATGATACGAGCGAACGCTCGTGAATAATATAATTGCCTACTGTTTTCATCTTCTTGTACGTGTCCCCCATTGTCTAACCAAGCGTCAGAAAATGAAAGAGCCTCTTTCAAAAGTAACAATTTCACGATCAATCATCGTCGCGCGACGGCAACAGGGATAAGCCTTCGAAAATTAAAATGATCGTCATACGGAATATCGTTGAGATTTTTATTTCAGTCATAAATCATTCTACCGGAAGTGGCTCGAAACGAATATGGATTTTTGAATTCGATCATCAATTACGTATATACAGATCGTGCAAATAATAATAATATACACTTTGCAAGGTTAACAAGATTTACCCAGCAGTTCAAGGGACGCGTTAGGCGCAATGAATTTTCGACATTTCCTTTCATGGGTCTGTGGTGGTATCGATTAAACTACATAATGAAATCAGGCCGTAGATAAGAGAAAAGCCACGTTAATGTGGGAGTTTGGTAAATTTTGAAACACGTTAACAGGTGTGCTCGTTAACAAATCTATAACGAGCCTTGCGTTTAATTATAATAAAATTCATTTAACAATTTGATTGAGCGAATACCGAAAGTTGTCGTCGAATCAAATATCCTTTTTTGAAATAACAGTCGAACAAAGGAATCGTCAGATTAAGGGTAAAGTCTTTGTTAATTAATGTGGGCATTGCAAATAATTGTTTAAGGGATTATAACGGCTACTTTGTTAAAGTGTTATTCGCTATTATTCTTTAAAATTACGAGGATGATAGAGCGAGAGAGAGTGAGAGGGAGGGAGGGAGGAAAGGGGTAGGAAGTAAAAAATACGTCATTTCTCTTTGTCCCTAAGTGGAACGATCTCGTTGAGCAATCAAGTCTAACGAGATGCAATCCCTACTGTTTGAATAAAAATAATTCGTGTGGCCTATCAAGTATTACTGAGCCCTCAGGAAGCTGTTTGCTCTCGAGCGTACTTCTCTCTCCTTATGAAGGGTCATTGGTTGAATTGAGATTCGTTTGAAAATCGTAGCTAGACTATCTTGGCTTTCCTCGAGACGATCAAGCGTTGTATCAATGGCCAATAGTTATCGGTTGGTCACTTATTGACCGCCGAACAGTTGATTGGTAGGGTTGTACCGGCTATGTTAGGATATGGTGATTCGAGCAATCAAATCGGAATAGGGTATCTGACCTAATCACTATTGTTTGATCTGGAATAATTCTTTGGGCAATCACAGAGCATTGTCGGGAAGCAAGTCTTGAAATTCCCCACTCAAAGGATCCCCTGAGTGCTGTCGTTCAATTAAAAGTCTTTTGATCCTGTCGAAAGAGTGCTTTGATTTAGAGAAAAGTGATAGGCTGTCTACGAATTTTTTTCTTTCTTTTTTTTTTCCTAAATCACAAGCTTACATTGCGGTCGCTTCGCTTTTTCCCTCAAGAGAGTACCAGTGAATGCTGACAGAGTTCTGGTAAACAGAGAAAAGGAGAAAAGAGGAAAGAAGGTAGGGAGAAACAGTGACAAAGGGAGACAATTTTTTCCCTTTCTCTCTCTCTCTCTTTTCAACGATAGGCAATTTATTTCAGATATTTCGGATAAAATTTCAAGCCACGTGCATTTGACAAAGACAACGATAATTTCCTTACGTATTCGGAGCTCTCCTCGATTTTCGGGTTTAATATGATATTCCGTGTACTCGCGGTCTGATTCACTTATGTTTTTTTGTGTTTTTCTTTTTTTAGAAAAATTATGGAATATCGATAAAATTTTTTTAGGGCGATTCACATTCAATACTGTCCTCTTGCTGTGATGGAATCCCAACGTTTGCGCATGCGCAGATCTCTTCGGAAAGACAAACCATTTTTTCTACACAGAATTCAAATTTTATCCGTCGGCAAATCTCGACGGACATATACGTGGGTTTTCGATATCAATTTTCAAAGGGTTAGACGCCCGCTGTTGGCTTAAAAGGGATTCGGACACGGGTAAGTAGACAATGTACAAGTAAATGGTGACGCGGAATATGAATTTACCCCTTGGCAATTCCATATCAATTGCATGGAATTCGAGTCAGCCGCACAAAGTGTACATCCGGCCTTTACTTGTCCGTACGAATATTGGATTTTGTCCAGATTTCGATTCTGTTATCTTTATTCCCATTCTTCCCTGTCCCGCAACTGCATTTTCAATAAAAAAGCAAAACTTTTCAACCGGGATCGTTATACTTTCGTCCTATCGGGGGAAAAATTTATATTCCATTTCATAGAAAAAAGTTTCACCATTACGTGAGTCGCATATGGCGGTGGCTGATTTCAAGTTATTCTTTTTTTCTTCTTCGTTCCAATTTCAACATCGGGTTTGACGAAAAGTGTGAGACGATTTTTCATTTTAAAACCAATCTTACCTCTTGTCTCTTTCTTCCTGATAAATTGTCTGTTATCAAGATTGCCATTAGATTATATGTATATACATATAAGAATTTGATTTTGCCCTTTCCGTATCCTGGCTATAAGGTATAGACAGTAAGATATAGCGATTCCACCAGATCTCTGGTTACCCTGGACTCGGTTTACGATATAATGGCACAATAAAATCAGAGACTTGGCAAAGGGGTTTGCCGATAAAGTTAATATTAGAGGTTCCCATAATTATGGTTTATTTTTAGTTGAGCTTCAATCCTAAGGTACTATAACAGTGCACTATACATATATCGTTCATATATCAAATCCGTGATTATGACGTATGACATTAAAATTTTGTCAAAAATTAAAAAGAAACACGTTTGTGGCTCACGCATGCTGAAGGTTCTGATAAATAAAACATGACGCATCATAAATTTAGATTAAACGTAAATAAACGTATTCCAAAAGTGGGACGGATCGTTGGACAATATTTTTTGTTTTTTCGATTACCCCTTGCTCTTAATAAAGAGTGAACAGTCACGTACTGTGATATGAGTATATACAATAAACGATAACGAAGGAATTGGTCATAATTTTTTTTTTGCTCACAGAACAAACAGAAACAACAAAATCTAGAAATATAAAAAAAAAAAAAATTATTTTGTGTACATTCAAATTTACTAAATACGTGCGTAGTCGATAGCACGAACTCATATGCGCGAAGACTAATAAAAAAATGATGTACATGTCGAAATAAAAATCAAACAATCATAATATTGCCTATCGATCGATAACAGGAGTATTGACAATTGACACTTGAATCTATCGAATGACATTGACAGTGCAAAATCAATCGGCCATCATGTCCAGTGTACTCGGAGCCATCGACACGTGGCTGAAAGTGTTAATGGATTGAAAAAATAGTGGAAAAATTGAAAGTCAAAGAATTACCCAAAAATGTCAACCCCAAAGAAGACGCTGTGATCCATATGACGTAACATGCGACTCAGCTGCAGCGGTCGAAGTAAACGGCGAAAGAGAAGAATACAGTCTCGGTCATAATCCAATGAGAAATGTCATCCGGTTCGAGGAAGAGGATCCCGAGCCGCCAATGAATTTCATAGAGTTCACTAAAGTGCGAGAAAAGTGAGAAAAACGAGAAGTCATGAATCTTTTATTGCCAATGACACTTACCTGGATGTCAACGTTGACGTGGTTCCTGAAGGAGGTAATCGCTGCCACTGACAATGACACCGATTACATAATCGACGATAACCTTGATTACGAAAACGAAACTAATTGTACAAATGCGTACTGTATCTCGGACGAGGAGTACTTCGAGCGTATGGAAAATTATATATTTCCCGATCCGTACACCTGGGTACTCATCGCCATGCACAGCGTGGTCTTCGTCGTCGGGCTCGTCGGCAACGCCCTGGTCTGTCTGGCCGTATACAGAAACCATTCCATGAGGACGGTTACGAATTACTTCATCGTGAATCTCGCCGTGGCTGACCTCCTGGTGATTCTTATATGCCTGCCGCCGACGGTGGTATGGGACGTCACGTCGACCTGGTTCCTTGGGTTGCAGCTCTGCAAGGCGGTCCCGTATTTGCAGGTGAGCTCATACAGTCCAAAGATTCCCATCACGTACGTCAGATGATACCTCTCCAGCACGTTGCATAGTTTCAGACTGCGGGGGGTTGTTTTTATTTTTTGGCTTACGTGTCAGAAAGTATAATACGGTCAACCCCCTGGTGGAATTTTCTTTAACCTATTTATACAATATAGGTAAACCGTGCGAATGTGTTTTTTTTTTGTATACTTTTTCTAGGAGTTGCTTTGTGTATGATTGTATCTAGGTGTGTATATATATATATATACACTCTGCTACCCGATTTATTCACCCTCGGTTACCGTATAGCCAAGACTAGAAATATATATTTTCAGCACGGTCAAGTTGCTTCCTTTTCTTACTCTTTTATTTATTTTTCTCTTTTCGGAGAAGAAAAATTAAGGAAATACAACACGGAATTAATGGGGGCAGATATAACTTTTCTTCATTACTGTACTAATCGAGGAAAAATTTCCGATGCAAATAATACTTATACATTCCAGGTAGAAAATTCATGCTTCGCGTGACCGTAGTTTAGATTTCAACGGTCAGATATCTTGCATACGTCTCCGTTGGTAATTTGCGTAATTGTACCACTTCACGAGATAGCTATTACTGTCTGTTCTCTGAACCTTAAAAAAGAATAAAGAGAGAGAGAGAGAGAGACAGAGTGAGAACGGGAAATGCTCGGGGGTATTTTTTGACTCGTAAAACCTGGTAAAGTCCTTCTCTTAAACATCCTCGTCCCCATGGGCACCATTTCCATTTTCCTAGGACATTTCGTTAACGAGCGATAAGGGCTCTCATGTTTATTCGTCAGGGATTGGTAGTAGGTACTGACGGAAGGAATTTTTTTTTTCATAGTGCCAATTTTTTCTTAACATTTTCCTATTGCTGGTCAGTGTCAAGGAGAGGGGCGATACGATCAAGGGGGGGCGGTCATGGAACTCGTTCTCCTGGTACGTGTTGAATTACGGTCGCATCTGTCCCAGCATATCTGATAGGACTGTTTGATAAGAGAAAAGGGCATATCAATTAAGAAATTGAGAAAATTGCGAAACCCTCACGGACACGTTATCGCGCTGGAGGAATAGAGACCGATATGGGTATTTCTCCTCTCCTTGCTAAATTTGGTAAATGAGTGGCGCATGGGTACAAAGGGAAATTGGATGAACGTAAAAGTCAAATAGCGAAATTGATAAACTTACTTTTGTTATCCGGGTCGGCATTAACTTGTCATATTATTTGACTACCATCCGCTTTGACGTTGTTTTCACGAGAAAAACATTGTTTGTACAGATTCTGTGGACTTGTTTACATGTTTGCCATTAACTGACCGAGGTTCTTGAGCCGCCAGGATATGGATCCGCATGGTATGAAAAAGTATTTTCAATCCCTCCTTCGCGTTGGTATCTATGCATAGGATTAAGTCTTTGAGCCAACATCAGTACCTTACAGGGGAATCGTGGGATTTGTTTTAAAATCAAATTTACATTAACGTACCGCGAGCGAACTTGTTTTCAGTTATAAAATTGGCACTAGCAATTGCGTGGATGATAAATCTGAGGTCGAGAAGTTTAATAAACATTGTCTCGTGTATCTTATGCACGTAAATGCAAGCAAAATGCTATAGAGAAAGACTTTATTTTTCTATGGATCTCTGTCTAGGGATTCAATGAAGTGTATTATCGTTGAGGATTTACATGACAAAGGATTATTTGTGAAAGTGTTTACAAGAATACAGAGTGGTAATGCATCTAGTATAACAAGGCCAACTTGATCCTAAGTTAAATTAACTTGAAACACTGTTCGATCAGATTGCTCGGGGCAGACAGTTTCCTTCGCCATTTTGTCAGGGCAGCTTACGTAGTGCGTCGCAGAATCTAATTCCGATTATATATATTATATATGTATATATGTACGTGTTGAAGTGAAAATTGAAAGCAACATTTTTTAAATAATATTTCGTCCACACAGCTACAATCCAAATTGGATTAACGCATTTGCGAGTTGCGTGTAGTGCTACGTGCTCTCGTAAAGCACTAGCAATGAACCCGATATACCAATTTCTCCTGGCTAGGATTCCCAGTGGCATGGTTAATAGGTAAATTTGAAAGAGCGTTGCTTTCGGTGGAGATGGCAGTTAAGAAAATTATTTTCACGGGGTGAAATTTCATTCCGACGTAATGCGGGTTGTGGAATTCCCAAAGTGAAAGCCTATAAATGCGAGTGGAAGGGGCGCGGGGGTGGGGGGCGTTACCGAAGTAAAATTTGCAAATTGTTTTATTATTCTTGTATCCAGCAGGAGCATTTGAGATATCCGAGGAAAATCATTTATTCGCCAGGAGAGATTCTTCTGTAAATAATCCGAGAGGAACGGAGAAAGAAAATGGAACTAATGGTAAAAATATTAGCTGAAGCCTGAATGGATTTTGGAATGTAAAAAAAGAAAAGTTTTAAATTATCCAGGCGATCAGAATTTTTCTTTTTCGCTTTAGTACAGAATTATCCCTTACTCGTAACAGTCGATCTAATAATATATAGGGGTTAACCCTTAGATACCTTCTGTGTTATCTCACTTTCGACCATCGCTGTCAAGATTTTTCACCCTCTTTCTCTTTCGAAACCCCTTTTAATTGCAGGTCCTGGCAACGAGCGCTAGAGCCCATCCGAAGTGCCTACCCGCACGACTTAAGTGCTACTTTTTATCAGTAGTCCTTGAACAGGATCCTCCATTTTGTTCCTTTATATGCAATTGGGGTTACTCGTGATCGTATCTGTTCTCTTCAACCTGCGGGATAAGAGGATGATGAAGGAATCGTGTAAAATCCTCGTAAAACTCGAGGTCCTAAGTATCTACGTAAAAGCCGCGATATTGACATAGCAAACAAAACTAAGATGGACGTACGAATGTAATTGAAATCTTTGAAACCTCTTGAAATTCCTCTGACGCTGCGACGTTCCATAAAATTTAATTCTCCGATAAATTCCTTAGAGTCGTTATTAGTCCAATTCGTCATAGTCTGCGCTCTGGTGGCCTGAAAGGAGATTAGGAATCGAGACGACGAAAAAGAAGCGTCTGCTAACGCGCGTCGAAACTTGCTTAGTAAACTTTCCGCGAGAGCACCGTAGATGGCAGCACGGTGAAAAGTACTTTTTGAGAGATCGTCCCATTATCGTAACCATTGTAGTCTCTGGCTAGCATCATCTGGTCGCCATGTTTTTTTTTCCACTTTCTCTTTCCGCCAACCTTTTTCCCTGTTATAAATTGACATCGTTGTTGGCAATGGACATCTTTCAAAAGGCTTTACACTCACGCCCTGTGACCCCATATTAGTCGTGACACTTTATCGACCGAATAAATCGAAATCCATTCGTTTACCTAACGACGGACTCTATTTGCCAGTGGTACGAGTTTCAACTGTTGTTGATGATGTTAGAAAGAAAATTCGTAAGACGTACTTTTGTCGGGCATCACAGAACTAATTGTTTTACTGTAAGAGAGAAATGGAAAGTTCTTTTTCGTCAATTATATTCAAAGACTCGACTCTCAGTCAATCGACTTTTTGCTTAAAAGGGCTTGTAGGTCCGTTTTCTTCAACGCGGTTCAATGCAGAAATTACGTTTAGCTTCAACATGTACGTGTCTGATTGGCCAACAGCACAACTAAACCGAGTTTGACCAAGGAACGACGCTGGTGAAGTCAGGGATAAGTGTCTCAAATCGAACGTTACTAGCAGCTTGTGAAAGAGCCTCTACATTCGTAGTGTATTCTACTTTCAATTTAATATATTATATGGGGGAGAAGCTTATCGACGGTCTCATGGATCCTGCGGCGCCAACTAGGTTCTTTATATATTTATAAGCACGTTTACGCATGCTTTAGAGTGACAGCCAAACTTGAAGTTTTCGTTATAGTAGATCATCTAAATTGCAAATTCTAGTGGAGGTACGAGGTTCAATAGAGGGCTGTCTGTTTCTGTCGAAATATACCGTAGAGACAGACGTGTCGGTACATCGACAGGTCGCGATTATCAGCCGAAATGGTAGCGTAAAAAATGAGCCTGAAAAGTTGTATGCATTAGATAATGACGGTAGTGTACTAACGATAATGAAAATTGAACTCTTATCTTCAAAGAAGGTAAACAGATTAATCAGGTACACAGTACACACTCAACACGCGTTACGAATTAAATATAGAAGCAGATGCTTGGGACATCCGTCACGACGTTGATCCTCCTGAAAATTTATTTAAACTTGGTGATATATTCATTCGAAAATTTGAATAAGTTTATACCAGAGTAATAGCTGACAGAAGATCACTTCTTAGGACGTTAATGAGTCTTGTTGTATGTATGCACATTTTAGCTCTTTATGCCGCGGGCTAACCTTCGTACTCTACTTACCTCTTCCGAGCGCCGCTAGATGGCAAACGGTACGTATCGTTCTCTATAACGAAAGCTATTTACGCAACGTGCATAGGAACTCGAGTGAGACCCGTCTGACTAAAAAGGGTGCTCGCTACTTTAATAGCGCGTTAGTTCGTTTATTGACGAATTAGCGGGGTATGGCTATCAAGACATACCCAGTACGTAATTTTTGTAAATGCGAGGCTGTTGGCTGCCAGTTCGCACCGACGCCTCCATTAGTTATTGCAAAGAAATAAACAGTTTTTGAAAAATGGGTCATTTTCAAGGGTAGAGTTATACTGCAGAAGTACTGATAATATATGGGATAATGTACATACTTAACCAATATGTTTGTATGCTTTTCATATGTATATCGTATTTTTTCAAAATACGATATACATATTACAATTTGAGGTGTTTCAATTCCCCGCGGTTATTATCCTTATAAAATTAATGAGTAAAATTGCAATAATAACATGTAAAATACACACATATCGTTAAATGTTCTTTTCCCTTTCCTTTAATTTTTTCTTCCCTAATTTTTTTTCCCTAATACTTTTCAAGAGATTTTTATTTATTTTCCTTCTTTAATCATATAAAGTTCCTTCTAATTTTTTTCTCCGATGGGAGGAGGGGGCGGGGTTTGATTTGACAATCCGTGGTTTACTTTAGAAAGTTTGTTTTTCTACCAGGCCTCCCGGAAAGTTTTACCCTCCTTCGTAACAGAATAGAAGCTCACCGACCCTGGCTTATTCCGAAAGGAATTCAAAGTTTTTATCACACAACGAAATCAGCTGATAGAATTCAATTAAACAGACAGTCCAACGATGTTCAATCTAATATTCAAAGTGAAAAGCAGGCGCTGCACGGCAGGGGGGGAAAGAGAGGAAGCTAAGCCAACGAGAGCGGGTAGTAGCGGTCAGCAGTATGAGAGACAAAATTGGTCTCCTTGTCGTTTCGTAACGGCCAAGTAATAAAAGCTTCGACTGCATATTCAATGCCGTAACGGATGTAGGAAACGTTGGCAGTTAGTTACAAAGCAATTTAAAGAGTGTCGGCTATTTTGTCATCTATACCTAGCAAAAAGAAAGAAGATGGGCGGGCATCGCATAAAGACGTCCAATGGATAATTTAATTTACATACACTTATCGATTCCTTGCCAGTAACTGAAGTTCAATTTGTTGCGCCTGAACGCGCAGAGCCATTCGTGTCGCGTCGGCACATTTTTTGGTAGATCAAACAAAAGAAAAAAAAAAAAAAAAAAAAAAAAAAGAAAAAAAAGTAAAACACAACCTCAAAATACTTGCTGTCTTTAAAAATAACAAAGACATCGTTTATACCACTTTCGTGCGAGTTAACGAAGCGTGCAAATATTTTCTTATGCATTTTCTTTCTCTGGAAACACGTGAGAGAACGCTCATGCAAATTGACATTTTCGATAAACTTTTATCTCAACAACAGCGCCAACCCTCGGGCGTACTATCTGGCACGTGTTCGTCAGTGCGCTACGATTCTCAGACTACGTGCCTCGCGCTTGTAAATTCCAACAGTTATGAGACGCGCACGGTCTGTATTTCATATTCATGTCAGTATCTGGCATCCACGAAGACACAACGCGCGCACGACTATTCGTTTTCGCTTTCGTTCCCGAGCAATCTTACACAAAAAGTTTCCCTTCCTTGCACGTACGACATCCACCGTGACGCAATTACCGAACCCTTCATTTTTCACGTCCTCCCCACGCAACGGGGAACGCGCTAAAACTATAGACAGCACGAGTCAACGAACTAAGAGAAAGTTTGATTAGACTCTCAGACGACCTTTACAAGGCAAAGTCAACGAGACGTTTTTAGTTCAGGGCAGCGAAACGTCGGAGGCCTGTGAAAGAGCTGATAAGAAAAAAATTAAGTATCTTCCAAACGATAAATATTTCCATTTCAAGATTCCCATTGTCAGCCATTTACCAATCCAATTCGATGAACGCATTAGTTTGGCATGGAAAGATACCAAGCTTATCGTTACTCGACCACGCAGCTCTTTCGCTTTTACGCCACATAAACTCGTTATTCTTTCTCTGTGTCTCCCAGGAAATCATGTTGTTGCTGTTTCAATGGAATTCGGGTATATAATGCTCCTACGAGTTTCGAGCTTCAAAGAGCTCGTTTTCGCCTGCGGATACGCCAAACGGACCAGTTTCGTCCTTCTACCGGCAATATTGTCCCGGGTGTAGGTAATCGAGGAGCACGCACCTAACCATCCAGGCAGACTACAGTATGTGCTACCTTTCTCATATGCTCCTGGTGCATCAGGTATATAGGTTCGACAGCATGTGCCACGTGCACGTACGCCATGTCCCTGACGTTCTATAACGTACAATTACTTCTAGTTACTTACCGTAGCTTTTAGCATTTCTTTAGTCGTACGCTCTTCACGCATACCCGATACATATACCATTTACTTGGGTGACTTCGGCACTGGGATTATTTCTGGCGTTCATAGAGTCGAGTTACTGCGTCATGTGACCACCCGGTAAATAGGCGGTACATTGAGAAAGAAATTATTATTTTCTTTCATATGAAATATTTATTATTTCACAGAATTGTAACAAAAACATCAAACGTTTCGAGTGAAGGAAATTGTTATGAAATTATTATAATTTATATAAGTGTTATGCTGCTTTTCGATAAATATTATTCGATGTAATGTACGTGAAATACATTTTCTTTTTAATACATTGCACGCAGGTTTTACGTGCAAATGTATGTCAGTTGAAATGCATATTGTTGTTCCGAGTAATTAACGTAATTTTTTTCAATCAATTATGCCTTCGAATTAATTAATATTTTGCCAAGTCGATTTCGTGTAATTCTTTGCATATACTCTTAATATATCATTTCTGAACTACCGTGTTAGTCTGGTAAAGAGATCTTCAGCATTTCATCTCCAAATAAACAGTTCGTCTTCCCGATGAGATGCTCTGTCGTTTTAATTTGTTTTTAAACTTTTACGAATGATTTATACGATTTTGTGTTTCGGTCCGATTAAAACTCAATTACATATATCCATTTTGGAATTATATATTTTTGAGGACATAACCAAAGAAAATTTTTTTTCAATTGAACTAATTTTTTTTGTGCCAAGAACATGTTTTTTTCAGTTTTTACGCACGTGCATACATATCGGATTGGTATTCTGATTCTGGATGACAGACTTATTTTTGGATAACGATCGTAATAGTTATTGATATTAAATTGTATCGTCAGGAATTATTGTGACTCTTCGGCAGAGCCGAAATTTTGCGTAAGTTTGCAGGATTTTAATTTCACTCGGCATTCGCGTACGTAAAACTTTTTCTTTTAGGTTATAAATGACTTCCTCTTGGTGGTTAAATATTTTTACACGTATCGTATGATATTTATTGATATAGTCTGTGTTCATATATTTGTTTTAATAACGCAATTTAGCCTGCTTACACAAGAAAATCCCTAAAGGTATCACCTTAAGTGTTTATAGACGCTTTGAATAAATTCTCGCGTGAGAAACCCGATATATGAAACGCCGTATAATAACTGTACGTTTCCAACGTGCTACAGGTTGCCACCCTAAAATCACTGAAATCCTTTGAACACCTCGCGGAAACTGTGTAACCCCTGCCAGCAAATTCGTTTACACTGCGGCCCTAATTTGTACTGGTAAATGAGAAAGGATTGAAGGGATCCGGACGATTATACCGTGATGAGGTTATTTGCAGCCTGCGAAGGATTTAGATAGGAAGCTATCAGAGTTTTTAAGTCGACTTAAGCATTATGAATTTCGTGGGAGCGGGAGGTTAGAAATTCAAGGAACCAGAAGCTCAAGTAATACAATGCCTTGCTGACGCGCAAAACGACGGAACGTAGCGCGAGAATTTCCCTGCTGGAAAATTCTTGTCGGGTGACGCATTTGCGATGGAGCATGCATATTTCGACCGGAAGTGCATAAAACCCGAGGTCGGGCTGCATCACCACGAGAATAATGTATTTTCGCGAGCATGCTCGAACATTACCATTACGCAGGATGGAAGGAGTGCGAAGAATTCGCAGTGAGGGAAAGACGAAAAAGAAGAAGCGAGATTCCTTAACGAGATATTAAATTGCAGTGGTAAAATTTTTTTTTATTTTTTTTTTCCATGCCAAAACTAGTCGATGATTACAGAAAATAAAATTACGAGAACGGGGACGAAATTTTGTGAATATTTCAAATTTTATTTCTATCTGCAAGTGGATTTCATTGAAAACGTCTTTTTTTTTTTAAATGCATCAGCCGTCACCGATGACTTTCGAATTTCTGCCCAAGTCCGAATTCTCAGCCTCGATCCAACCTTTGAAAATGTACGTTCCTTTAGAAGCCCACGCATCCCCGAAAAGTCAACCACGGTCTGACCTCTTCAAACTCGCCGTAGAGCTATCGTTGTACCCAGCCTATTTTTCGCTGGTAAAGTTTCCGATCTAACCAAATTTCAATAGATTTACGTCCAAAAAGATTCAATGTTCCGTAAAGTATGCTGCTGATACAGCTTAACCCGAATATAGCGACTACTGAACTCGCATAGTGGAGCGGGCAGGATTAGCGTGGGTCGAAGTCAGCCTAATCCCAGCTTAGAACTGGAAGAAACGAAGTGGCACTTCGGGCCTGAGCGTATAGTAGGCTCAGCTAGCGGAGGTATGTATATTTGAAGCGAGCGTCCCTCGCCGACGGGCTAAGTTAAAATTCCGAAAATCTAGGCTAAAATGGTAGACCAAATATTTCGACTCTGGCATATACACATTTATCAGATCTGACAGCTCTGACGCGTCTGCGGTCCTATCCGTACACCGGCAATACTATAGTACATTATTGGTAGAGATTATCGAAATTCTAATAACCCGGTAACAGAGAAAAGTTCGATCGTCATTAATCATTCGAATCAGGGTGCATGTTTAAGTTCACCAAATGGATCCCTGATAAATACGTTATCCCTATCAAAAGCTCGATTCGTACTACGCCCAGCGTCCTTTCCTCTTTCAGGATCGAGATGAACACTAAGTATCCACTTAACCCTCGTCTTGGGCGCGCGGAAAGTTTTGTAAGTTAACCGGAACAATGGCTGTTCCATAACGGAAGGATATGACTGATACGTATTTATTGAATCCGACATGTGGATGGAGCTTAATTACAGCTCATTGATCATCTTAATTAACGGATAGTGGACACGA